AAATATAAGTTATGGGTTCAACTGAGATATGTATGGAATATTTGGTTTGGGCCCTGTGCTTAAAATCAATGATGCTGGAGGCTATAAATGCTGTAGTGTGTGGACTCAAAGGCAATTTTACAGGCTGTAGTTATTGTAGATTTGTTTGATTGCATTGGATTAATAGAAGTTCATCATTTCCATAACAACTAACTAACTATAACATAAAGCAGGACAAATGACTTACAAACCTGAACCCTTGAGTATTGAAAGTGCAAACTTTCTCCTCTCACAAGCCATCTCCTTTTTGGATGTCCCAAAGGACATCATTGGTAATGCAGGAAAGGCCTCAATCACTGCTCTTGCCATCTACACACCAACACACAGAATCACACTTCTCATCTGCGCTACATTGTTTTTGCCAGTAAAATTACAACATTGAATTGATATTTCAATAAAAATGATCAAACTATTAATAACTAATAGTTGTAATGAGGTAATTAACACAACTTGAAGAATGTACATGACAAACTACATGGGTTGTGTCAACAACCAGCCCTCTTATCACTTTTACACAATTCCCCTAAAAAATAAACTGAAAATTGATAATTCAGAAACTAATGACTTATTTTTTAACATCATTGACTATTTTATACTTTAAACTTGTATAATAATTAAGACACTGAAATAAATATAAGAATATATATGTAGCAGAAGCATACATATTACATATAGTAGTTAAAGTAAAACAACTACGTTACCATGGTAACAATGACCCCACAGCTACTGCCATCACGTTGAACTGGATGGTGCATGGTTGCTCCTCTCCATTTGACAGTCCCCCAGTCCTCCTTGCCATAGCAGGTCCTCCTCATCTTGAAGTATTCCCTTTGTAAAACACATTGTGGAATAGTCTCTAATGTAACTCCCAACAGACACATGTAGAATACAAATCTTTAAATATTGTGTAAAATAAAAACACTCCATCCCAACAGTATGGACACTGGAAAATATTGTAGGTTACCTTGCTTACTGAGCTACTTCATTTAGAATTGTGTACACAGATACTAAGGGCGGGATAAGGAAATATCATTTAAAAAACAGCTGAGACCACCAAGCACAAAATAAATACTTCAGTGGTGTGGGTTTGGGAACTTCTGTTAACATACTTATGTTTACTTAAACACAAAGCACTAAATATAATTCTAAGATCACTTTATATCTAATTTGCTGACTTACCGTACTCTTTTCGCAGCATTTTCCGAGTCTGCTTTCTCTTTGGAATTTGCCGCTGGATCCACCAAAAATACTGATCTTATGGCAGGAAATAAGTACTAAAAAAAAAGGGATGTTATTTCAAAACAGCATCAAACATATATACATATTTAAATGAAAGGGATTTCTGAATGAAAACAATCACTAACCAGCAACTTCCAGTGTGTTCTTTCAATATTTACAAAGGCGATCACGGCTTGATAATCATTAAAGTTGATCTATAACAGCAATAAAAATACTTTTTTTTAAGTTTTCTTAGGAATATGATGCCTTATTTTATTAAAAATAAATCATGGTGTTTGAATTTGTATATTAAATTACAAAATAGAAAACCCAAAGTACTATAACACAAAATGTACACATGCAAGTAAGCCATTTCACAGCCAATTTTGGCTCTACAAGGTGTGGATAGGTAAAAGGTATGAAAACACACATTACCTTTGGCAAGCCGTGCCGACTGAGCTGGGTTCGTTCTCCAAAAAGTATAATACCTGCTGTGTAATGATTGAGTATGTAAATTGTGTTTCCAGTGTTGAACTGGCTGGCATACAGATGGAATAGGCCCTCAATAACCTAAATCCGATAATTGACATGAAGACAGAAAAAAAATACAGCGGATTAAACACTAATAAAATATATAATACAATTACATACTAAACTTTTTTACTGTGGGTAATATTGTTTTAACCACAAAATACCTCGCCTGTTAGCCACTGGTGAGGTCTCACTGTAGCTCACTGTGGTGGATCAAAAAATGGTTCCCTCTAATATGGGAGGGGAGCACAGCAACTACAACTTCAGTGTCCTTCCTTTTCCACATTGATGTCAGCTGCAGAAACAAATTAACAACAACTTGTTAAGTTAAAAAAAAATCAGTCTTACTATATTTATGATAAATTATCCAAAACTACATCATTAATATTCAGATAAAAGGGAAAATGTAAGTTTAAACATTAACTGTAAAATCGTATATTCTAAAACAGACATATTAAGTTATGACCAGTAAACAAAGTGATTCAGAATACATTCAAAAATGTATATTTAATACTGTCCATCCTCATGTATTTTATCACTGTACATATACTTAAAGTCCATGTAAGAAAAATAAAATAAAATGACCAATTAGCCAATGACATCTTTGTTGCAAGTCAATATCTAAATGCAATTTTGAAAATTATGTTATTATGCAGTCTAATTGTAGTATCATCCCTGGATTAATGTTAATAATTTAAAAAATACATTATTCCTAAAATACATTTTTTTTTAAATCCACAGTACAGGTTTTATAATGCTTTGTTAAGAAAATTGACCTGTGATGTCACATGTTCTGGAGAGGGCTTCTGTTCATGTGCATCAGTGATGACTGATGTTGACTGGCGGGGGGACTTGAGCTGTGAACAATGTAATACAGATAATTCCATGAAATACAAACATCACCCCATTATAAAACATGTACATTAGCTATTTGACTATTTGTCCATGTTCCTCAGAATGAGATGGGAGGGATAGCATGTCATGGTAAACACAAAAGTTGGAGACAAGAAATGTTACACATGGAAAAGTTACAAGATACATCAACAAAATGTCATAAGATCATCATGAGATCTTCTTAAAAAAGAACTGTAATTCTTTGTTCTTTCTAGTAGAATGAAAAAAGCCATTCATCCTTTACAATTGAAGGACATTTAAAAATAAATGCAGCAAAATGTTAGGCACTAACCTGGGATGGTGTGTGCTGTGGAAAGCTGTCTCTGTATTTTTCCTGTGCCTCTTTGAGGTTGGACGTGGACAGAGATGGGTTGAGAATCTTCTTCATAACCTGATAATCCCAAATGTACTTGACGTCAACATTTTATATTATCTGTATTATATAAACACATAGCATCACATGTAAAAAAATGGTGATCAATGAAGTAACCTTTCCTTTACCTTCTTTGCTTTAGATTTCTTGAAATCAAAAGGCTTTGTGATTGGTGTAACATATACACCTCTCCTCCTTTGTTTCCTCTGTTTCCACATCTACCCTGTGGGTCCTAATTATAATACAGAGCAATAGGTGTAGTTACTATAAATGGAAGACAATATTTCCACAACATTTTCAATTGCATTCTGTATAAATTGGCACACATTAGTGGATATGTGGCAAAACTAGACAACTATGTGATGGCAATTTCATCACCTATGGTTAGTTGATGTTTTCAATAATATATTTGGTGCTTAAACCTGAGGTTATGTCTTAGTCCTGCAAGTGATTCTGACCTGTAATGGGATGTAATTTGCATTAACAAAAAGTTAACAACAACTAACTACAACTAATTTAAAGTAATTCTGCTATGCAAAGAAATGAATATATACTTTCACATCAGCTACTATGTTACACGTATGTAGTGTCAATTTCTGCAAAAACATGTTCAAAGTGACAGAACTGAAAATATAAAACTTTGATCAAAGTTATTAGTTTGATCACATTATGATCCCTCAAACAAGGACAGCGATGACAGAGAAAGGCAATTACAATAAGTAAAGACTTTGCCAAAATATCATACCTTGTTCTTTGTCTTCAGAGAGTCTTGGTATTCTCTCAACAGTGTGTTGTGCATGACCTTGTATGTGTGCACAAAGTCATCCAGTCTTGTGAGCCTCTTCTGCTGAAAGCGAATCTTTTTAAGATCCCACTGGCTCTTCTCCATAATCCCCTGGGTCATGTTGTCTTTAGTGTAGTTCTGTTAAATAACAGCTCTTTGGTGAATTAGTGTGCCTACAACTCTGGATATCAGCCATGTCATAAAGTTGTGGTTAGCTGTAATTATGTTTTTTTGTTCAAGTTTACCTGTGTTGATTTCTGGGCAACTGTCTTGAACCTCTTTGACAGCTTTTCATAAAAGGGACCTCTTCCATGACGTCCAAGGTCACCTGCCATAGAAGCATCTAACTTTAATAATAGGAAAAACATGCTTAAAATTAAAACATACATGAAGAAGAGGAAGTTAACTAACCCAGTAGTAGTCTTGACCACAGAGCAGCCTGAGGCAGAAAGTACTTGAGCAGCTTGGGGATAAAGTTTGGGCAAAAGTACTCATTTGGCTCTCCAACTTTATCCAATGATGCCTGCTGGATGACATCCTTAAAGTGGTAGTCAAACGGTGTTGGGCCCAAATCATTCTGTAAGACACATAATCACGTTCATGTAATTGTTTTGTATTTTGGTGCATTTTTTAGTACTAAACCAGATGTTACTTACAATATTATAATTCTTTGGTCCATGTAATTGTGTATTTTGTATTTGCATGGACTGCAGTTACAACAAATTAATATCTGCTGAACATTTCTACAAAGGAAAAAAGTCCATACAGCTTATACCTATTTAGGCATAACTCACAAAAGGGAAATACTCAAAGCACCCAGAAAAACACATACACATTAGGGCTGCAAATAACAATTATTTTCATTGTCAATTAATCTGTCGATAATTTTCTTGATTAGTTGCTTGGTCTATAAAATCTCAGAAAATCAGTGTTTCCCAAAGTCCAACATGACGTACTCAAATGTCTTGTTTTGTCCACAACTCAAAGATATTCAATTTACTGTCATAAAGGAGTAAATATAGCATCAAATATTCACATTTAAGAAGCTGGAATCAGAGAATATTTACTTTTAGACAATATTTACTTTTTCGTAAGAAATTACTCAAACAGATTTTTGAAATAGTTGGCGATTAATTTCATAGTTGACAACTAATCCATTATTCCATTTTATTTTACAATTCTACAAAGGATTACCTACCACAAAGTCTTCCTCAGCAATGCCTGAGTCATCGATGACTGGCTGGGCAACTGCTGTCAAAAGCGTCTGAAGGTCTTTAAAATGTTTCTCAACATTTTCCCCACTGCATGGACTTGCCAGCAGCACGGTGGCACTAACTACTACTTGATCAAGTTCTTTTAGAGTAGTAGCCTGGGTCATCAGCCCGAAGACATGCATGCACAGACGATAGTGTTTCGCGGCACTGTGAGGAAGAATTTACAGAATTAATATTATTACAATGCCACTATACTCTAAACTAAAATATAACTAAATCATATTCAGTTGAAGACATCACTCACTGTTTTTTGCAGAGGTCCTTTGCGTTTTTCATTACATGGCTCAGGCATCTATGTAGGATAGGAAGTGCAAGTGCATGCTCCTTTCCTTGTCCCGTCACAATGTGATAATATTGTGATAGTAGTTCATTGAGACTAAGGCCACATAGATTATGAGCCATTGCCTGCATCAAAACTACAGAGCCATCACAAAGTAACATAACTGGTCTTCTGCGAATTTTTGGCCCATGTTGTTTGACAGTCTGTGATGAAAGAGCCAAGAAAGTATGTTATCGATGCTGTGGTGTGTTCACAGGTAACATATGTGGCAACAGGGACAGGGGAGCATCCTTTTATTGGATTTCTGACCACAAGTTCGTAGATGTAAAAAGGTGTGCTCTCCCCTTTTGCCTTTTTAACAATGCTACCTGTGGCATCTAGGTAGACAATGTCCTCCTTCGATCTGTCATGGAATAACCTAATTGTTCTCTTAGACCAAAGCATGACACCTTTTGGCTGCAGAATTACCTTCTGAATCCACTGGTCATCTTTGTCTTGAACATCCTCAGACATAAGTTGCAGACTCACCATCTCATTTTCGTGCCTCCTCTGCTTTTCCCTTTCACCCCAAGATAAAGTCTTTAAGACTCCAGTTGTCGGCACCTCATCTCTGCAACCAGATTGCAGAACAGTCTCCTCCAACTTGTTCAAGCTTTGTAGATATACAGTTCTTGGGAGTTTAGAGCTAAGAGTGTCTGCTATCAGCTGCCTTTCTTCAGCTCTAATTGGCCTCCTTCTCAGCTGTTGAAGGCTGTGCCGTACAATGCCCCCCTGGAAGCAGACAACAGCCTTGAGGGACGACTCACTTTCCACTTTCACATTTACTTTAACCTGACAGTCATCAAAACGGCAGTACCCAGTGCAGGTAAACAGTGGCTTTTTTGTCATAGAGCCTATCATTTTCACACTGTGCCTCTTGAAACCAAAACTACAGTGTGGATGGACACTTCGGATACCTTTTGCAATCACATTTGTCCAATGCAAACTTTTGAACTGCCGTTTTTGTTGGGTCTTTCTGAGTTTTCTCCATTCCTTGTGTGGAATGAAAAAAAAACAGGGTTGCTCAGGCAATTTGTGGGTGAAGTATTTCTGCTTCTCTTCGTCCTTTGTAGATGATGTGGTACTGCTACTACTGCAGCCACTGCTGGTATTCTGCAAACGCAAGTTGTAAGAAAGGTAGATTAGAAGCTGGTATGCATGAATATGCATTCAAGTATATCCAATTGCCAAATCCAAACTTGAACTGCATATTGCAAATTTCATCATACAATGTAAGGATAAGAAGATGTTTTTTTTCTGTAAAAGGACATCCCTCAGAAATAGCAAATGTCATTCACAATACTCCCAAAATAGTTGTTGTTAAAAAATATAAATGTTTAACACATTTGAAAGCTGGGAATCTAACATTTAGATGTAAAAATTAATAGCTATTTAACTTTTTATCAATTAATTCTAACCCACTTAAACTGACGTACTTCCAAAGCTTTTTTAAAATAATCTAAGTTTACCTCTTGGCTGTCATCCACAGATGATGATTCATTGTCATTTGGTGATGAAAGACTGTTATCTGTGTCTTGGCGGACTTCCAGCAGGGGCTCACAGCTTGCTGAGTCTGTCATTTTGGGACTTTTCAGGGCTCACATCTGGCATGTCTTCAGGATTGGGTCCACAGCTGGCTGAGTCCAACTCAGTTCCATCTTGTGGCACCACAGTCGACGTGTCTGGTTTGTCGACTTCCGCTTGCACACTGCCCTGTATTCCCACACCCCATAAGCAAAACAGGTTAAGAGTAATAGATAATGCTGATATCATAGTATGAGCATTGAATATTTTCTTCAATTATAATCACAGTACATTTCATACATTTTTAAAGAGATTAAAAAATATTACGAAAGCAAACAAAATTCAAAATAATGGAATAACCATAAAAAAAATAATATATTTTATGATTACCTGTTGATGTTGAAGGTAGGCATTTTTAATTCTAATCGTATTACTTGGGACGTTGGTGATTCCTAAGTCCTTGCAGACAATTCCCCAGAAACTCTCTTCTGGATACGCGCTTTCTTCTGCCAGGGGCCCTTTTGTCTTGTCTTGCAGCCTCTGGATGCATGACAGAATGTCCGTTGCACTCTTTACCAATTTTCTGGACTATTCAAACAAGGAGGAAAACGGTAAATTGTTTGTTTTATTTAAAGATGTGTCTAAGCTATCAATACATGTGCAAAAAGAAGTAATACTTACCCTCCCAAAAGTTGAAAAAGTAAACGATCTGTAAAGAAAAAAAATACTCAAAGTTACAAAAATGATACATATCATGATGTATAAAAATCAAGAAGACTGTAGAAAAGATATAAAGATCTCGAGCGCAATTATTTTCTGTTTACATATGACTGCACTGAACATTGGCCTCAAACACTTGACTCACTACATTGTAGGCCTATGTAGTATTGTATATATGTTATATATTTTGAATAACAACAGAGTATACAATGCAATCATATAATACAATACTAAAACACAATATATGTATAAACATTTTTTTTAATATAATTCAGTAAATGAATTTTAATTCCTATAAGTAACAAGTAACATGTTCAGTTTTTCACGTTTATAACCAAATGTCATGAAAATAGGTTTATAATTAAGCGAGTTGCAGTCGACTTTGTAGAGAAGTCTGCATCTCTGGATTTCTTCAATAACAGAAGTTGAGCTCTCCAATGGCGGACACGCAGATTAACGTCAAATCGCTAACGCGGTATCTATGATTCTATATATATCATGGATGTATATTAACAATACTTTTTTATTATACATCCATAGGGTCTTATTATACAACCATGATATCTTTGTACATGATATTGATTAATGGCTGCAACCATTTTCAGTACTCGGATTTACATGATGCCGTTTTAAAAAATGGGGGGCGGGGCCGTCAGCGTACGGAGCCGGCCGTCAACGGCCCGCTGACGACCGGCCGTTCTGTGATTCTCCAGAACACACAGCTTGCCAGTCCAGTCCCATTCCACCACTGGCTCCATGACCGTATTATCACCCATATTGAAGCACCTAATTCCTAAACTTCTAACAGATACAACATAAACCGATCCTTCAGCCTCATATGAGCTCTCAGACCAACCCAGTCTCACGGCATTTCGTGTTCACCAACACGATTTTTAATCTATTGATTCGTGTTCACCAACACGATTTGCCCCTTTTTTTCGTGTTGCACAGCACGATTTTAAAAGCAATGTATTTCTACTGCCTGCAGCACGTCTTTTTCTCCGGTCGGGTCGAGGAAGACCGGAAGCTGTGTGGTTCATAAAAACATGTTCTTACTCAATATCAAGCCACAGTTATTGCTTTTATTTTAAAATCGTATAATTTCGGACTTTTGTTGCCGTCTGTGAGGAAAATAAATGGGGCTCAGAGCCTCAGGATACTGAAATCTGTATTTTTTAAATCTTTTTTTCCTTCTAATTTGTTATTCTTTTCAAAATAACACACTGTTATTTACTCACCAATAACACACAATTATCCTTGCTTTTATTTATTGGTTTAATTCCATAATCTCGGGCTTTTTTGGCGTCCGTCAGGAAAATGTGTTTTATCCCACATTAAAGTTGACACAAATGCTCATTCTTGTTCTCTGGAGAGGACTTTGAAACTCAAATTACTGAAAAAGTACACAGTAAAAGTAGTTCATATTATTTTTGCAAGTAGTCCTAGAAGTATTAAGTACAAACATGGCAGTTTCATAAACTACTTATGGAAGAAATGTGTTTTATCCCACATTAAAGTTGACACAAAGGCTCATTCTTGTTCTCTGGAGAGGACTTTGAAACTCAAATTATTCAAAAAGTACAAAGTAAAAGTAGTTCATATTATTTTTACAAGTAGTCCTAGAAGTATTAAGTACAAACATGGCAGTTTCATAAACTACTTATGGAAGAAATGTGTTTTATCCCACATTAAAGTTGACACAAATGCTCATTCTTGTTCTCTGGAGAGGACTTTGAAACTCAAATTATTCAAAAAGTACAAAGTAAAAGTAGTTCATATTATTTTTACAAGTAGTCCTAGAAGTACTAAGTACAAACATGACAGTTTCATAAACTACTTATGGAAGAAATGTGTTTTATCCCACATTAAAGTTGTCACAAATGCTCATTCTTGTTCTCTGGAGAGGACTTTGAAACTCAAATTATTCAAAAAGTACAAAGTAAAAGTAGTTCATATTATTTTTACAAGTAGTCCTAGAAGTACTAAGTACAAACATGACAGTTTCATAAACTACTTATGGAAGAAATGTTTTTTAGACCACATTAAAGTTGACGAAAATGCTCCTTCTTGTTCTCTGGAGGGAATTTTGCCATTCTCAAAAAGTACACAGTAAAAGTAATTCATAGTATTTGTGCAACAAGTTTATGAAGCAATAAGTCCTAACATTATTCTCATAAATTACCCTGTTCCTCAATCGCAAATAATATAAATGAACCACATGCCATCCTTTACTTTGAAATCCTCACCGGAAGTGTTCCTGCACATACGAAACGTCCAGCTTCCCAGGGTTGTTTTATTGCATTACCGTAAACCTGTAACTAATCACGCACTCGAAATACAGGGGCGGCTGGTTTGACCACGCAAAAGTGAAAGACGGCTGGCTTGACCGCAGTTATGTGGCAGCACTGTTCAATGTTTCTTGAAAACATTACCCACCGTATGGGATTAGTTTTGTATCATAAAGATAAAGCAACACTTTTTCAGAATAAAGCAAAACTATGAGTTTAAAAGAAAAAAAACTGAGTCAAGCAAAAATAAAATTAATTTCAAAAATAAACTATAAGTTGCAAACAAATAATTTGTGTAATCATGTAAACTATAAGTATTTTTTCTTTGTTTTAACATAGGGTTTTGTTTGTAGTTGTTGTTTCTTCTTTCTCAATGATCAGACTTTTGCTCTCGCTGCAGCTTTCTCGTTTGCGCTCCCTCATTTTTTGTTTGAGATTCTGACACAAACCTCCCAGGTGGGCGGGACTTTCAGGGGTGCGTCCCCATTGGCTACGCAGTTTTTGAGTGACAGCCCAGTCCTTCAGCGATTGTACAGTGCAGGTGTTACCGTTTAACGGGTTACACCGGGGAACTCGTTACGTTACGTTAAGGGTAGTAATGGGGCGTGTACTTTGAGGAGCCATTGTCGAATAACCAGGAAATACACCTTTCGATCGCTTCTTTTGTTGTTTACATTTATCTTTTGGTATATTTGGCTCCATAGGAACACTTTGATGCACATTCAGTACCAGTGTGTGAGGTTGTGGTTGCGATGCCGATATCCGGACGCGGACAGCGAGGACTACAAAATGACAATGAGGTGACTGGGGATGTCTGTTCAAAACATTGCAAACGTGAATAAATCATTTCAAATATGTATTTGTCTCCGACTTTCATTTGTACATCGTTGTTAATGTGATGTTTAGTAGCTTTGATAGCTGTCCATACCTCCAGACAGCCTAAAAGTAAGACACAAGTTATTTACTCACAGCCCGAATGCAGCATCGAGATCCGTGGCCAGCTGTGATCCTCTCCGATTAACTTGTGACAGGACTTCTTTATCTATTCTCCACAGTGGTGTAGTGGGGATTTTTTTACTGGGGGGACGCTATTTTAATTAGGTCATCCCAGAGCCCTAGAGAGAGAATTATTATTATTATTATTATTATTATTATTATTATTATCTCTCTAGGGCTCTGGGTCATCCCAAACAATGCCACACAAGTGCGCACGCGCACAGTGCACTCACAAAACGGGCAGACATGCAGGTCCACAGAAACTACCGGTATGCTTAGTCCTACTTTAGTTACTGTACTTCAAAAAGCAGACGGCGCTGCGCTCAACACACACATAGACTCAAAACCATGGGCACACTGGCACATAAGTTACAACAATGTATAGGCCTAAATTGCATAAGCTACAACTAAGCAGACAGCGCTGCTTCTCTCTATCTCCACTTTCAAAATCTATTTAAAACTCATAACAAACAAACAAAATTCCCAAAGTTGTCCTGAAATTAACTTATTAAATACGAAAAACATAGCCTACTAATGCAAACATTGAATCTGGACTTGAAATTATTCTGATTAGGCCTAGCCTACATTGCAAATAAGCAGACAGCGCTGCTTCACACACACACACACACACACACACACACACACACACACACACACACACACACACACACACACACACACACACACACACACACACACAACACACACACACACACACACACACACACACACACACACACACACACACACACACACACACACACACACACACTACACCCACACCACACACACACCACACCACATCACACAACACCACACCACCTTGCGTTTTGAAGACTGATAAATCCGAAATGGATGAACAGCAGCCCAGCTTTGCAGTCTATCCACGGGTAGCCTCTTGTTTCCTCTGCCACGTGTCCTCCGTCCATACCTCTGGGAAAGGTGAACTTGAGATAGCCAGGGGAACGTTGCTAGCGCAGCTAACGTGCACGTTAGCTAGCATTATTCACGTCTTTAGGCGGCTCTTCTGATGATGTAGTACTAGTAGCAGCTTCACTTGTAGCTTCGGTGCTGCTAGCCTCTTTCTTCTTGTGAATGATATTCTTTTTAGAAAATAAGTCAAGTAAAAAACGTTTTCCTTCCATTATAGAGCTTTTTCGTTAGCGTTCTTGAGGGAAAGAGCTGCCGCAAAATCGGCGGGCGGTGAGCTGGACACCCACGGCCAGCTTCTTCTTCTTCTTCTTCTCTTTAATGGTGAATCGCTTCCACTTGGAGCATATATCGCCACCTACTGTTGAGTTATTAAATGTTCATATTAAATCCTTGTCCTCAAACCTTTTGAGGAATTTGAAGATCAGCTTGTTTGCTTCATTTCTTGATTTACTTTCATATATTGATTTGAAATCCATGTCCTTGATGTTGAGTTGTTCCAGTGCAGTTTTCAGAATGAGTCTTTGCCTTGTATATTCCGGGCAGCTAAAAAATACATGCTGTATTGTCTCTGGTTGTTGGCAACCATCACAATTGCCATTTGGATGTTTCCCAATCAGATGCAGTGATGAGTTTAATCCAGAGTGTCCCAATTTTATCCTGCTGTTAATGCTCTGTTCTCTTCTACTACTCCCCCAAGTGCTTCCTGTTCCTACTTCCCTTTGTATCTGGTATAAATGTCTTCCTTTGATGTTACTGTCCCATAGTTTTTGCCATTGTTGCTTGATAACCACTTTTGTAACAGATTTGACTTCTGATCGACTGATGGGTACAATTATATCAATCTGGTTTGCTTTCAAACCACATTTTGCCAGTTGATCCACTACTTCATTCCCTCTAATACCCACATGCGCTGGAACCCACACAAATTGAACAACAATTCCCAGATGAACTAACCTAAACATGATGTGTAAAATTTCATGTAAAATCTCCTGACGACATTCTGAAGAGAAGTTGTTTATGCTCTCCAGAGCTGCACTGGAGTCAGAGCAAATGACCACTCGCATTGGCTGTATTTCCTCTACCCACTGAAGTGCTAGTGAGATAGCCATCATCTCTACTGTATATACTGCAATGTGATCACTCGTACGCTTTCCCACTTTTACTTTTAATTCAGGAACATAAAATGCACAACTAGTTAGACCATTTTCTGGATCTTTAGATCCATCAGTAAATATTTGTATAAACTGCCCATATTGTTCATGTAGAACAGTGTTCACATAAGCCTGTACATTGATTTTGTTTTTCATTGAATGTAACCGTTTCAATAGTGATAAATCTACTATAGGTTGAGGTAGCAACCATGGTGGAACAGCTGATAACACCACCGTCGGACTAATACTCCATTCTTTAACTTTGAATTCCTTACATATTTCCGAAACACAAACACAAAAACTTTCTTTTTTTATTTTGTTACTTTCCCAACTTGTTTGTACAGTTTGTTTGGTAGGGTGAGTATCTTTATGGCCCTGAAGATTTGCCCAGTAATGAACAATTAACTGTTTTCTCCTCAAAGAAATTGGTATTTCTCCGACCTCTACCTGAAGTGCAGACACTGGTGTAGATCTGACTGCCCCACAGCATATCCTTAGTGCTTGTGCCTGGACTCTATCTAATTTCTGAAGAGAAGAATATGCAGCTGAACCATACACTATTAGTCCGTATTCTATGGCTGATCTTATTAAGGCTGTGTATACGTTCCTCAAAGCAGCTTTATCAGCCCCCCACTTAGTGCCTGCCAAGCACCTCATAACATTTAAAACCCTTTTACATTTATCCACTACTTTATCAATGTGCGTACTCCATGTGACTCTCTCGTCCAACCATATTCCCAGAAATGTAAATGTCTTCACTTTCTTTAGATCTTGTCCATAAAGTTTTAACCTAACCTCCTCACTTATCCTTTTCCTCGTAAAAAATAAAGTTTCAGTTTTTTCCACCGACAATCTAAACCCCCATGTCAGAGACCAGCTTTCAATTTCCGTAATGGCTTCCTGAATCTTAGCTACAATATATTTTACATTTCTGCCCCTTTTCCAAATAGCTCCATCATCTGCAAAAAGTGACTTACCAATATCAGATCCTACTTGTGTGTATATATCATTTATCATGATAGAAAACAAAAGAGGACTAATTACACTCCCCTGCGGGGTTCCATTTTCAACGTCATGCCTTCGAGAATATGAATTGCCAACTCGGACTCTGATGGCACGGCCAAACAAAAAATCCATAATCCAATTATATACATTACCTCCCAGACCCATAATGTCCAGTTTTATTAATAATCCTTCCTTCCACATCATATCGTAAGCTTTTTCCACATCAAAGAATACAGCTACAACACACTCCTTATTCGCTTGTGCTTTCCTGACTTCAGACTCCAGGCACAGCAATGGATCTAAAGTACTCCGCCCTCTTCTAAACCCACTCTGATAAGGAGTCATTAGTTCATTTTTCTCAATGTAGTATGTCAGCCTTTCTGTTATCATTCTTTCCATAACTTTACACAAGTGCGATGTCAGAGCTATAGGTCTATAACTGCCTGGACTGGTTGGATCTTTCCCAGGTTTTCTAATAGGAATAATGACAGACTCTTTCCATATTATTGGCAGCTTCCCTTTCTCCCAAATCTTATTGTACATCTCCAGCAGCTTTTCTAATGCAAAATCACTTAATTTGGTCAACATTATATAGCATACATTATCTTTCCCAGGAGCAGTCATTTTACACTTACTTAATTCTCTTCTCACCTCTTGAATAGAAAAAGGTATATTTACAACACTCTGCGACGAATGTCTATCTTCATATACATTAGGATGTTCATCTAACACTTCCTGCCTCCTGATCTTACCTTCTTCTGTCAAATTTTCCGAAGAATGAACTTTGACAAAATTCTTAGCTAGAATTTCTGCCTTCTCCATAGCACCGGTGGCAATTTCCCCTCCATTCTCTAACACTGGCAGGTTACTCTGCTGTCTTATTCCCCTCATCTTCTTAACCATTCCCCATACTTTATCTAATGGTGTAGTTCTCCCAATACTTGAACAGAATCCTCTCCAACACTCCCTTTTTGCTCTTTTAACAATGTTCCTTACCTGAGCCTGTGCCTTTTTATATTCTAATAAATTGTGTAATGAATGTGTCTTTCTTAGCTTTCCAAACAGCCTGATTTTGTTTCGAATTGCATCATTACATTCTTTGTTCCACCACGGTACCATCTTAACACATTTACTAAGTTTACCAGTTTTATTCCCAATAGTTTGATTAGCGCTTTTAATTATATTTGAAGTAAATTGTTCATTTATTTCATCAATACTTCCTGCCATATCAATCTGATCAAATTCTTTATCACACAATTTAGCAAACATCTCCCAATTTGCTTTAGAAAAGGTCCATCTCATGATACCATCTAGCTCAACCACATTACTAATATCAAACTTGATTATAATCGGAAGATGATCACTCCCAATACTGTTATTTGCCAATACTTCCCAACTGCTACCCGAAGCTAATTCACTTGTTACAAGAGTTAGGTCGATCGCAGACTCTGTTCCATCTCTAAAATTGAGTCTTGTACCTTGCCCATTATTTAAACAAACAAATTCCTTTGCCTCCATTAAGTCCTCCACCACCTGTCCGTTGTAATCTGTTGATCTCCCTCCCCACATTGTATTATGTGCATTAAAATCACCACACCATATTATTTCATTTCCTTGGCAAAGACTGTCTAATTCCTCTATTTTGAGTTTATTACATGGATTATAAAAATTCAGGACACTAATTTTCCTTTTATTAATCCAAACTTCTACACCCACTATTTCTAAATCATGACTGTTCTTAAATGTTAGCCTACTATAAGACATTACTTCTCTGATAAAGATTGCACATCCCCCTCCCTGGCCATCATTTCTATCTTGTTTTATAGCAGTATATCCCCCAATTATGAAGTCCAAATGAGTCTTCAGCCATGTTTCTTGAATACAAATAACATCTGGTTTTTCTTTTAACTGATATATATAAGTCTTGAATTCTTGTCCATTTGCAATAAGGCTTCTAGCATTCCACTGCAGAATGAGAAAAACCATTCATCTACTCACTAATCTGTGAATCATCATTATTGGGGGCTAGCATATCATGCATCATTTCAATGGTTATATCCTTTATCCCCAAAAATTCACCTGCTGCTTCCACTATTGTTTTCAGTCTTGACCTCTTTTTTGTTTGTTGCAAAGCAACATTCACCACTTTCCCAATAAAGGCCACAAATTTGTACTTATTAACAATCAATGCATCCTCTCCTATCACACATTTATGTGAACACTTTGTGAAGCTTTCCTTTGCCTGTGTGAGTTTGGGAAAATCTTTTGAAGAGAATATACTTGTTGCTACTTGGGATTTCCTAGCTATGTTTAGGGAAACCTTTTCTGTTGCTTCAGCATATGAGACTTTATTTTGCACTTTGAATCTCTGCACCTCCTTGGCCTTTTTCTGCACTTCGCAGCCCTGATACGCAGCACTATGTTCCCCACCACAGTTACAACATTTCACCTTAGCACCTGCAGCACAACTACCATATTCATGTTCCCCCGCACATGTTGGACACCTGGGCTTAGTTGCTTTGCACTTGTCTGCCACATGCCCAAACCTTTGGCATTTAAAGCACCGCAGAGGTTTAGGGATGAATTCTCTTACTGGAAAGCTCATGCAACGATCATTATCTTCTGTTGAATTGTTTCTTCAAACTGAAGAAGAACAGACAAACTATCCACTATCTTACCCTGATACCTAGTAGGAAGACGCTTAACTACAGACACTTTCCCCCCTTTAATTTCTTTCTTGAGCTCTTCTATGCCGATTTCTATGGGAACTCCACTGATAACTCCAAGTATTTTCCGATTTGCTCCAGGAACATGGCATTTAATTCGAACTTCATTCAGGGTCTTCATTTTCAGTAACTTTTCCTGTTGTTTTGCATTCATCAATTCAATCAACATCCGTCCTTTGCTCAGGAATCTTGCTTGCTTTATCGATCCAATTTCTTTGTGAATTGCTTTAGTCAGGGCCACTGGATGTAGCTTAGCTGCGGTTTGCTCACCAAACTCCACAATCACTTTCCAATCTTCATTCTCATTATTTTTCTTTACTCTCTTCAACCCATTCCGTGAATCAGATTCACTAAGACTGTCACTTGACATGTCTATCTTCTTTCTTGAAGTCTTTTTCCTTACTTCATTCCATCCTCCTTCTCCTTCAGATGCACTTTCCATATCCTCTTCTCCAGGACTCAAAGACGCCATTCCACTCTCTCCTGGTGAAGGTCCCTGGTTTTTGCACTTTTTAAATGAAGTTCCTGGTCCTGGTCCTTTTCTTCTTCCCCCACGGCCAGCTGTGGGGTCACGAGCGTGATGACGAATCATCATTTTTGAAGGAAATCGTTTTTATTTTTTATTATGGGCCATTACTGTGAAATGTATTGTTTTTGTCATTATTATAACAAATACACACTTGCAACTGATAAGACTGGCAATGATTTTATATTTATTAGACTATTGAAAAAAAGATCATGCTCCAAATAAGTGGGGGTACGGCGTACCCCCGCGTCCAACGCCCACTACACCACTGATTCTCCAGCGAGCAAGGTTTTTATTAAATACCTCCATCCCTCTCATCACAACAAGACTCTACACTGTACAGAAAAAAAACAACATAAATGAAAATAACCTTGCTGGATAGCTTAGAATGAAACAAACAAATGATCTTCCATGGCTGATACTGATGTCACAGTAACGGCTAAACCACAGACAAGTCCAGCGGGGGGGGGGGGGGGGGGGGGGGGGGGGCGGCACAAGTTGAATCCATATAATGAATTGTTATTTTATATATATATATGTATAACTGTCCTTGTCTTTTGCTGCTGCAAAGCAAACATTTCCCAAATTGGTATCAATAAAGTACTTCTTATGTTATCTTAATCCTCAAATATTAGCTAATTTAACTTTTTCAAATATTAATGTAACTACATACACATCGATATGTTGTATAAATATTGCAAATCAAAACCTTTATTCACTACTTATTACCAAAAATCGTAGTTCTATCTCAGGTAATCATGCATTCAAATGTCCCACCACGAACTTCCGAGGAACTATTGAGTCTCCCTGAACCACGTGACGATCAAGCATTTTGGACTTCCGTTATCGTAACTCTTCTCTTTCTGGCGCTGGCCCTGACTAATCACAGGTTGGCAGGGGCATGACGTAAGCCTTGTCTGATTGGTCAATCCCTCCATTTTTTTTCACCAAGGGAAGCCAATTTCGGCTGGCCCTATTATACATCCATGGGCTGGCCTCCTCTCGCAACAGAGAGTGCAATCTACTGTTTGACCATAACATCTAGAGGGGCGCTGTTTCACTCTTTGTAAAATACTCAATGAGAATGGGGGAGAGACGGGCCGGCAGCAACACACAACAAAGAATTTCCGAAACTAAACGAAGTGTTTTTATTTATTTATTAAAATTATAACTACAATCCGAAAAAACAGGGGAAGCCTGGCTTCCCTTGGCCTCCAGGAGAAAACGCCACTGATGCTAAGGTCCAGCTACTGACACGATAGCAGTCATTTAGTGCGCATATGTGTAATTAAACCCATGATATCAAAATCTCACTCCAGCCAGGTACCCAAAGTTGGCAACCCTGGGTTATCACCGGTTATCACGCAGTCTGTCTTCCGGTTGTTGCCTCTTTTGAATGACGAATACCGGCGCCTGCTGGTAAGGAGAGTTATTGCCACTCACGCATGCGCAGTTCGTACGTGCTTCTTGGCCGTCGGCTGAAGTCTTTGCGGTGTGTTCCAGTGCGACACATGGCCAAAACGCAGAGACGCGAGGCGACGCAACAGTCGGGGTCCGTCTGTTACTTGTTAGTCCTGGCACCCACAGGACTGTTGACATCCACCTGGATTCATCGTCTTCATATTTATAGACATTCCTTTTCAAGCATTTGGAATACCTATGTTGTAAATGTATTATATTTTTAATTGACACACAACACCTGTCCGTCCTGGGAGAGGGATCCCTCCTCTGTTGCTCTCCCTGAGGTTTCTTCCATTTCATCCCATTAACTTTGGGGTTTCTTTTGAAGTTTTTCTTTGTCCGATGTGAGGGTCAAAGGACAGAGGGTGACATATTCATATTGTGTACAAACTTTAAAGTCCACTGAGACAAATATAAAATGTGTGATATTGGGCTGTATAAATCAACTTTGATTGATTGATAAGATAAGATGGACCTTTATTAATCCCCGGAAATTCAGTGGTTTAACAGCAACAGGGTAAGGATGAAAAACATGACAGCACAGATTCACACAGATTAATACAAAGATAACAATTAAAAATGATAAAATAATTATTAAATAAGAAATGAATTAAAATGAACATACATAGCTGGTCATGTATACATATTATTTACATGTGTGTGAAAACTGTGTATTTTATGTCCAGTAATTGAGGCAGTAAGATTAGTTACTAAGTCAAAATTATTCGAAATATCCTTATTTGAGATAATATATATATAAATATTGGAAACGGTTCATTTTTTTAAATAATTGTGTGATGCCTAGTATTTAGAGATAAACATAATCGAAATGGGTTTCATTTGTGTGTTCCAATGAAACCTGTCCGGCGGAAGTTGTGCTCACGGCATTAACACAAAAGAAATGACGAGCGGTATCGGCAGTGAGTAATATTTCCCAGCGCTTTCTTAATTATCTTCTTGGTTTTATAGTGAAAACTAACAGTACATATAATTGTAACAATGTGGTTAACAGTAAGGTTGAACCCAGTATCTGTGTTGTTTGATAAAACGGTATACCGTGTAGCTTTGTGTGTGTCTCGTGAATGTGTCCCCCGTAATCAACACTGCTAAGCTAAAGCTATTGCTAAAATGATGGCAAAGTCTATGTTATTTTCTGCAGAATCACGGCTTATAACTAATTATACTTAGTTGCATAGGATGCATTCAAGTCCCAGCAGTTGACATTAAAATACAACATGTTATAATAGTTCTTAAAGGCATCTTTTAGACACGAAACAAGCTAGCAATCTAGCTAACATTGATTACCAATAAAGTAATGTTTTATTCCGTTTACCCACGCCGCTGTCTTGTGTTTTATATTATAAATGCATCACAGACTGAATTGTCTATCTGTTTTTGAGGCACAGTCTTACAGTGCATCTGTTAGCATAAGGACATTTCTCCGGAAAAAAACAAACAAACTCTCATTCTGGCTATGACATTAATCCCTGCACTAATTGTTGCAAAATGTCCCAAATCTATTGGGTCTGGCATTAACGTTTTCCAATCCTGTGTAAACATGAATTGCTCATTGTTTTTGCTCTGAAATAAATATTTGCTAGTTAAAATACGTCTGCTGTGATTACCTGGACATGTTGTGATTTACTGTATATTTGCTCATTTTCTTTTTCAACAGAACACAAGATACTGAATGTGGGGCCGACAGAGCCATGGTCAGTCAGGGAGAAACTGTGCCTGGCCTCCTCTGTTATGAGGAGTGGAGACCAAAACTGGTGAGAAGAGAATCCTACTCAAATGTTTTTGTTTTCAGAAAGGTATAAGAATACTTTGTGCTAGCTGTATATTAAATAAAAACTGGGATAGAAATTCCGTCTTCTCAGTTTTCCTTTCCATTATGTAAAACTTTATACAATGAATGATTATAAACGGTGCTGTCTATGCAAACTTTTTACTGCAAACATGTCAGTCAAAAAGTCTTGGAACACCTCTACAAACCTAACCTGTCCTACCAAAACCTCCCAGTCATTGCATTTCTTAAATTAAATTTAATGGAACTCTGCTAAATCCTAAAGCTCAACTCCAAATATTTTTTAAATTATGTCGTTTTGGATGTTTTTGTATTCTATGTCTCACCACTTACATATTTTACACTGGATTGGCATTGACATTTCTACTGAAACGATTACATATTTACAACGTGTATTCGGGCAAATAGAAAAACAATTTTTTTTAAATCGATAAGGAAAAAAATAATATTCTACAAAACTGTCTATTTTCTGAATATTTCACTTTAGTATTTATTTAGTCCTGATGCAAATGTATTTCTTAAAACGTGCATTATGATTCACATTGTTTTCTACACCTGTGTGTTTTATTCTGATGAATGTCTCTCCTTTTCTTGCAGGGTGTCTGTAAGCAGAGCCATCAAGCCTTTCTCAGAGCCCGGCCGTCCACCTGACTGGTTCTCACAGAAGGTGAGAAATCTCCGAAATATATATTTTTCCATTTGTCTTTTTTGCCTCAGGTTAACACATTTTCTCTTTGTGTCTCAGCACTGTGCCTCACAATACTCCGAGCTGCTCGAGGCCACAGAAGCACCAAAGTCAGTATAATAAAACACTACCACCCACCAATGTGCAGAATCATAATAATGTATTGTCACTGTTGTTTGGTAATATTTCTTGAGTTGACCTAAAGTTTTGCTGCCCCCCTTTGCTTCAGGCGAAAGCGTGGTGAGAAGGGTGAGGTGGTGGAAACCATTGAAGATGTCATCGTTCGTAGGCTAACCACAGAGAGGATAGAGGAGCTGAAAAAGCTACTGCGGGACACACAGGAGAAGTACAGGTACAAACAGGAACATTGCTTATAACACATTGGAGGACCGCAGATATGACCGTTAACCCGCCTCTGATTTTTGTATCCTGACAGGAAGTTGAAGAAGGATGTGGATATGATTCAGACGGGTCACATGGACTCCCAGCTGAAGGAGCAATTGGCAGACATAACACTGTAAGACTCTTCTGTTTCATATTAGACAAATGCTAACATGTTATCTTCATAGTGGATCAGTCTGTATGCTGTCTACATTTTAACTGGTCCCACAGTTATTTCACAACTAAAAATCCCCAAGAAAATCCCCCAAACTGATGTGGGCTTAATGCTGCTACAACATATACAATACAGACCAAAATCCTCAGACGGTTTAATATTTTCTATTATAATTTTACAACGCAGGGTACCACAGCAAAATAAGAGAAGATAGGACAGACCTTTATTGATCCCCATAGGGAAACTCAAGTGTATAGCAGCAACAGAATAAGAGGGAAATACAGGACAGTTCACACAAGGATAATAACAATAAGATTAGACATGTAAGAAACAGTCTGATAATTGTGACAAGCAACAAAAATAATGGGAAAATAAACATTGGACACCGTGATATCAATTAGAAACTCCCCTTGTCCCACTGTAGACCCCAAATCTAGTGCTGAACATGTCTCTGCATGGATGTGGGCACAATGACACCCCCACGGTTATCATTATCACAAAGCATGCGAGAGGTCACCCCTGCTGCCTTTCAGCCACAATCCTACCCTGCTCCTACGCCGTGTTAACAGCCTATTTACTATTAAATAAATTGTGATTTTCCAACCGCAGAAAGAAGAAGCAGGCTGAGGACGAAGCAGAACAGAAAAGGAAAGCCACAGAAACAGCGTTTCAAGGTAGGTTTTTAGACATTTTTCAAAGAGAGCTTTACAAATATATGATCTTCTGTTTTTGCAAGATAAACATTTCATAGAATTCATAGTAGTTTCAAACACACTACTCATAATGCTAATAAACAACATTCTTTACATATCATTGTGAAATCGCACGTTCAATTAATATTCCAGTGAGGGCTTTCCCAGTCTAAAAGCAACACATCTGCTAACACTATCATACATTGCCCCTCCTCTTTCTCTGAATATTTTGTATATTTCGCGAGGGAAATTGTTTGTGTCTCTGATCTACCTGTGTTGACATGACAGTGCTCTCCCATGATGCCATGCTCTTGTTTTCTATGCTGCATTTTGTTATTGATTTCTTCAACAAAGTTTACTTAAAAACATAAAAAAATGTCAACACAACCCTGACCTTTGTCTATCGCAGCTCGTCAGGCGATGAAGAACACGCCTAAGCGTCTGCCCAGTGTGACCGTGCGTTCTCCTCTGGGTGCCAGCCCCCCCACCATGGACTCTCAGATCGACTCTTCAATCCCCATGGCGTCCCTGGATACAGGAAGTGTGGCCTCCGATGACACCACCCCCACCTCCACCCTCTCAGTTGTAAGAACGTCATTTGCTTTACATTCTTATTCAGCAGTGGGGAATGCTGCCAATAATGAAAGAAAGTGTGTTACGTAAACTTGATTTATTGAGCCAAAGCAAAGACATTTATTTAGGCGATGCCTCTCCCTGATTGTTCTCTGCCAGGCCCAGGGGGTCGGGGTGTTTCTCCCTGCGGTGGATGCGTCAGGGCCCAAAGACGGAGGCCTGGTCGCTCTGATGGACGACTCCCCGCAGAAGAGGCTCCTCGCCCAGAAGTCCACGCCGCCGCCCTCGCCTCTCCTGTCAGAACTGCTGAAGAAAGGCAACCTCATCTCAGCCAGCCCCCGCCTGGTGAGACCCTGCTGCGATCATAACATTCAAAACTAAAATACAAGGAACTGAAAATTACAAACAAAATCATGTGGAGCAGCAATCAGGGCTCAGTTGTTAACACTTCAAAGATGTACACTGCAGACATCAATTTATAGAAAGCCTGTATATTTAATCTGAGTGTGCAGGACAAAATTGAGTCAGACAGATATAACTGCAATATTCTAATTTAATTCAATGTAATAATCCCATGAGTACTGTATTAAAACGTTCCTTTTGTGTGTGCCTTGTTTTCATTGATGTCAGGTTGGGGAGACAGACTCTGCAGGGAGCCTCACCAACGGAGTACAGACAGCCACTGTAGCCACTGCCTTACCACCGGCTCATGATGTCATCACAGGTAAACACACCTTGCATAGTGCACACACACACACACACACACACACACACACACACACACACACACACACACACACACACACACACACACACTATTCTGTCTTTGTAGTTAGATTTTCCATTGAGACTTGCCGTCAGGGTTCTGTGTTTAAACAAAATAAAAAAAGACATAATGATACTTACAACAATGCAGGTTGGTTTTATGTATTCACTGACTCTCGTGTGTGTGTTTGCAGAGGGTGAAGCAGAAGCTGCAGTGAAGACGGAGCTTGGGGCGGAGGCGGGGCTAGTGGAAGAGGACCTCGTCGCTGTGTCCTACATGGGAGATGAACTGGACCTGGAGACCGTCGGAGACATCATCGCCATCATAGAGGAGAAGGTACATGATTATTAAAAATCCAAATCAGTCTGATTTGGAAGCAGACATGACCAGGATCCCATTTTGTTGTTTTTTTTGTAGAGGAATAAAGCATTACTAGCATTGGCAAAATACATTTAAACGGCACTGAAAAGAGAATTTAGCCTGTGTTTACGTGTTGTGACCAATTCTGAGGGTATAGAAAGTCCTGTAGGGACAACTTATCAAACATAATAACATTTTCTAAATCATTGTCTAGATCTTTTAGAGTGGTGCAGATCAGAGTCCTGCACGGTTCTGATTTTCAAGACCCGCTCCCGCACCCGCGACGTGCAATATAGAACCCCCCCCGCTACCCGCACATATTGGAAAAAAGCGTTTGTAAAAATACCACCCGCGAATCACTTTTTTTGCGGGTCACCCGTCGGTAGGGCTGCTCGATTATGGCAAAAATCATAATCCGTCGGATACCCGACCCGATGCAGGACTCTGGTGCAGATGTAACTTCTAAACCCCATAAATGAGTCAGCCAAAGTTGAATGTTTTTTTTAATTAGATTTTAATTTAATGCCTGAAATGAGATCTGTGGTTAACACAGTTTTGAGCGATTTTCCCATTTTGTTCTACGACATTAAAATAAACACCCCACTGGTAAATGTGTCATTAAAAACAGTGGTTGCTCAGAAGTGACTAACTGAGACTACTAAACATCATCACGCCGGATATTAGCAGCCTTTAGCTTAGCGGTGGTGATGTGAAGTCATGTTGTTTGTTTATAGCAATAGAAATATGCTTTGGATTGATGAAATTGACACTTCAACTTTTATATAAGTGGTGTTGAGGGAACCCTTGCGATTCTAACGCCTTGGTCGACCTGCTTCATCTCTGCGTCACATCTCACAGGAACACACGTTATCTAAACACTGAGGATATATGTGACCTGCTCTATCGAATTGTCGCATTGACCCGAAGACACATTTTGAGTTGTATACACTGTTGGAAAGAGGAGATTCCTAGCTTTCTAATGATATCAGGATTGTTTTTGTACTCCAAATATTAAGCGAAATATGTCACATTATATAATGACTGTCACCGAGTCATCATTTTGAGAAAAGGCCTTCAAAGTTTCCTCTTCTCTGGAATCCATCGATCTGATTGGTTATTAGCAAATGATCAACATACTTCCCACGGAGGGAAGATACTTTCGTTTGGATTACTGGTCTGGGGGAAGCTCGCAAGTGTGTGTGTGTTTGTGTATTTTTGCGTTTTCTGACTCCTCCCCCTTCCTCCCAGGTGGATGACTCTGTGGAGGTGTTGGATGCAGCAGCAGTGGAAGCCGCTCTCTCTCTGTGTGAAGAGGCCGGCTCAGAGGGACACACCCTCCCCGGCCCCTGGGAGACCCAGGCCTCAGACGCAGGGCCCTCTGTCCCAGACTCTGACCCCTCTCAGGAGCCTCAGGATGGGGCCGCAATGTCGGCCCTGATGCCTGCAGGCATGGAGAGCCAGAATCAAGCTGAGGCTAAAAGAGAACAGCAGCTAAAGGGAAACTGTGAGGGACCGGAGGCGACAGGAAGTGATGTCACTTCTTCTGTCACCTCTGACGACTGTGCGACAGGGAGTGAGGTCATGGAGGAGGGTGCAGCGGGGAAGGATCCAACTGAAGCCACGATCAAAAGTGAAGGAGAGGAATGGAGCCAGCCTGAGCCCAACCCCCCCTGCCTCGGTGGGTGCTGTCTCACACACACACAAAACACACACACACACACACACACACACACACACACACACACACACACACACACACACACACACACACACACACACACACACACACACAGAAAACATGCCTATTTGTGTGTTTTAAATACAAATGTAATGATGGTTTTTTATTCACCTTCTCATTTCTGTCCCACAGACTCTGAGGACAGCTCTGTGTCTGGGAGAGAGTCCAAGGTAAAACACTCATACACTCTAACAAACTAAAATGATTGTAATTTACTAAAAGTGTTATCATCTAAAAAAAAAGATATCCCTTGCTTTTTAAATGCCTGTTTTAAAATGCCATTACATAATGTGTTTCTGCTGTATTTATTCTTAAATGTCTTTTATTTTATTTTGTAAAGCACTTTAAATGTTCCCGTGCTGACAGGTGCTATATAAATAAACTTGCCTTGCCTTAAATATGAATAACATACAAACAAACATTTTGTAATTCATTTCATCTTAACTTTTTAGTTGCAATATATTCCAGCAGTTAAAAACGGAATGAATTTCTGTCCAATCTGGAGACATTGAAACACCTTGACAGAGATTCCAGTAGGTGGTGCTGTGCAACAATGCTTCACATTTAGTGCCTTTTTGCTTTTTCCTTGCAGCCTTGTGGTGTAAAAAGAAAAAGTAAGATGTTCAGGTTAATTGTAAACTAACTAGTGTCATTATCTTCTGAGTGAAAGAGGACTCAAGCTGCTTCCCAGATCCAAATGTTTTATCAATATGGACATTCCTACACAGTTCTCCAATGTATTTTTAAATGTAGACGTACATAAATCTTTCACATAATACCTGTTCCCAACAAAAAACAACAACAAATAAATATACAAGAACTAAAATTAAACATTAACATATATTTAAATTAATTTTCATTATAGATTGTCACAAGATGATACAATACCAAAACATTTTAGGCAAAAACAACCAAACATAGTAAAACCATCAAAAACAGATCTCAATGTGTGTGTGTTGTTGAATCCAGGAGGTGAAGGAGGAGGAGGTGGGGAGTGATGGCGACCCAGACGAGGGGATGGAGCTGAAGGAGGAGTGTGGGGAGGGGGAGGGTCCCTATCTGTCCGAGGTGGAGCGGGCAGCCAGCGAGAGTGAGGACGGGTACGGCCCCCACTCCCAGCGCTACACAGCGGACTCTCTGGCCAGCAGCCCGGCCTCTTCCTCACAGCTGTAGGTGTCCTCAGATCACAGTCAGATTTCTGCAGTCTTTGGCTGCTGACATAAGATCCAAAAGTGTTGCTCTTGTGTCTTTACGTCTCGTCCACTTGTGATTTCTCTTCTGCTTTCCATTCACTATCCTCTCGTCACCCTCATCTGTCTCCTATTCCTCTCTCTGCTGCAGATCTACCTGTGGAGAGGACCAGGAGGCGGTGCAGGCCCAGAAGATCTGGAAGAAAGCCATCATGCTGGTGTGGAGAGCCGCAGCCAACCACAGGTGGAGCCTCTAGGAATGCCAAAATACATGCAATCGTTTGTTACCTCCATTTTTAGGCTTATCCTCGTCATCATGATAGTAATAAGCTGTTTCAGGTCATTAGCATCATACTCCTTGTCTAACAAAGAAGGATCCATATGAATGCATTTAATGTATCAAATGAGGTAAAGTCTTATCTGTTATTCTGTTTTATGAGGACATTACATTACCAAGGACATGGGGACTTCAATGGTCGCTACAGCCCTGATACTATAAACAGATGATCTTTGTATTTTGAGATTTTGATTGACAGTTTTCCTCCGTAAACAGAATAATAAATAAACATTAAGTTTACAAAACAAGGTGAATTTCAAATTTTTGCCAATGTTGGTAAAATAACCAACATCAACCTAAATCTGAACTCCTTAGTTTTCTACTATCTTTGGCTAATTTTAAATACTGGGATTTTGAGTAGAATTGCATTGGTTTGAAAGATTCTTGCTCACTGTTGGTAGTTTTCACTTTTGACTTTTCTAGAGAACGTATATGCATGTGGAGTGAAATGGGAAAACAGAATCTCCCAACGGCGGTTGGGAAAACAAATATTAAAAACATTTATTAATAGATTCATGTTTCTCTCAGGTACGCCAGTGTCTTCCTGCAGCCTGTGTCAGATGACATCGCCCCTGGCTACCACAGCATTGTACACAGGTAAGACCACACACACACACACACACACACACACACATATGCACTAATTTGCTTTTTTTAGTCAAATTACATCTAGCAAGCACACACATGTTATTTAAACAATATTTTCTCACAGAATCTGTAATAAATGTACTGCATTTTTTCCATAGCTCAAAATATAATGATCTTTATCAAACAGTGTAATAACATTGGTAATTATTAATGTTTTTAATAACCACGTCCCCCTGCCGCTGCAGACCCATGGATCTGTCGGCCATCAAGAAGAACATCGAGTCGGGCGTGATCCGCACCACGGCCGAGTTCCAGCGCGACATCATGCTGATGTTCCAGAACGCCGTCATGTACAACTCGTCGGACCACGACGTGTTCCACATGGCGCTGGAGATGCAGCGGGACGTCCTGGAGCACGTGCAGCAGTTCCTGGCCACGCAGCTCATCATGCAGACCTCGGAGAGCGCCATCTCCGCCAAGAGCCTCCGCGGCAGGGAGGGCAACCGCAAGCCCGGAGAGCCGGCCGAGAAGGTGGGTCGGGGGGCAAATTAGGGGTCACGTCTGGCAGAGTGTCAAACAAGGCTGATTCTGATGAAGCACTGCATTATCCTCCCTATCCAAAAATATAACTGTTATTGTTGGAACTCAACTTTGAGGGTCAGAATAGAATATCAACAGTGAGCAAGGAAGACAGTTTTGGATATGGGGGGGGGGCTGCTGTATCAAAATCATGTCCAAAAAAGTCATGTTAAATATGAATATACAGTATGAAGTGGAACACCCCATCTATTTACACAACTCCTGTTTCTTAGCAGAATGTTAGCTTTTCTTATGTTACTTATGTTGTGGATGGTTTGTTGAAAGGAAATAAATTATTGGATATGTCATATGATGTGACAAACTTAGTGCCATAGTTGATCATTCAAGTCAATAATCTTTTTAAATGTACCTCGTATTTTTATATTTTAACTAAATGATGCCTCAAGAGACACCTGCCTAATGTGATGTCTTTGAATCTGTTAATAGAATAAGAGCTCCATCCTATAAGGGGTGCGGGCCCTTAGATTGAAGGGTCTTTATACACTTCTATATACACTTAAAGAGCCTGTGACAGCATCCCAACAACTGTTGTGCAATCAAATATTGGGCTACTAGTCATCTCGAACCGTCAGTTTAAAAAAGAAGTTGCGATACCGTTCCGTTAAATATCAATAATTTCGAACATCGCGGGGAAATTCCTTCGACTCATTTTGAAGTTTTGGGGGAAGCCGGAAGTGACGTCAATGCGGGAACGCTTCACTGCGGCGAGAGAGCCAAACACGGACAAAGTGTGTTGTCATGCGTAGAAATGGTGAATTACTGAGTTTAGGCACGTTAATAACGTTGTAATGAAGTTGACTACAGTATATTCATATTTGTCAGTGCTTTCATGTCAATTCGGCGAACATAAACATACATGATCGTGGTGAAGATGATGATTACATTAGGATTCAAATCGGAGCTACTGAATTTCCTCCCGTCGGATGTGATATAAAAACAAATCGATTATTTTTGTAGTTGTAAACTCAAGTGGATGAAACTACATTTATTAGTGCTTTCATGTCAATTCGAACATGATAGATTAAATGATCGTGAGAATGATGATTAAAAATCGTTTGTTTGAGCCGGTCTGCATTTCCTGATGAGAAAACCACCCGATGCTTTTTGTAGTTGTAGTACACCAACATGGATTAAACGTGTGGTTTTTTCACCACAATGTTGGGGAAATTAATGGATAAAATGCACGGATTATTATTATTATTATTCCCACTCCGATCGGGACACTAGGTCCACCGTTTCCCCGCAGCGAGGCTCCCCCCGTTGACAGTTTACGTGGGCTGGGTGCAGTCGTGGACTGGCCATCGGGACGAATCCCGATGGGCCGGTACCGAAGTGGGCCGGTCGGATAAATCACTAGCACATCCCCGACTCCCCCCGTTGACAACTTACTAGCGGTACCGAAGTGGGCCGGGCGAGATCCCGGGATGATTTTTAGTCCCAGTCCACCACTGGCTACATGACCGTATGATCGCCCATATTGACGCACCTAATTCCTAAACTTCTAACAGATACAACATAAAGCGATCCTTCAGCCTCATATGAGCTCTCAGACACGTTCAAAATTAAACTGTCATCGCTGTCTGAGCTTGCTGCTGTGTGCACCATCGTGCGTTTACATGCAGATGCTGGGATCCTGAACGGTGCAGCTGGAGCGCTGTGCCCGCAATGACGTCACACATCATTTGGCGGGACTTGAAGAATCCCCGAGCAGATCCAGGAAATGGTCAACATTGAAGGGCAGATTAATGGTTATCAAAGTACAAATATCCAAAATCAGTTCAGTAACGGTTTTCAAGGGGACAATATTTACTCAAATTGATGGGTTTGGATGATGGGGGAAACTCGTGTCACAGGCTCTTTAAGTGTTGTATACTTCCAGACAGTATTCACCACTGATTAAGTCTTTTTGTTGTTTCTTTCTAGATGGGAGAGTGTCCCTGTCTAATTAATGTGTTTGAATCCAGTATTTCTGCACAGTTTCAGTAAAGATTATAAGTATTATAATATGTGTCGAATTTAATTTTGGGAAACGCTGCGTAGGATTCTAACTTGTGTGATCCAAACATTGATTGAAAGTCAATTCCATTTTCCAAAATTCACAACATGTTTTTATCAAAGCAAATATTCTGACTTTTAATTATCCAAGTTGATATGAGGAGGGTTTAGGGTGATGACTTGCAATTTTTTTAAACAACAAGCTGACTCATCTCCTTTTTGTCGATATGCCGATCTTACTTAACTGAATGTTGCCTCACTGATTTGTTAATGTTTATCGTCACTCAGCAGAGCCAGTGACGCAAGCCTATAGTGTGGCAATGTCTCAGAGAGCGTGGCGATTACAGCATGTAATATATCTACATGCAGTGTTGTTGAGACATCTGCTTCTATCTCCTGTCGCTCGAGATGATGTGCCTCTGTGGAAATATTCCCAGTCTTGACTTCCCCGCTGAGTCCTGCAAGCTGGCTGCAGCTCTGCTCACTAACTTGTGTGTGTGTGTGTGTGTGTTGTGTGTGTGTGTGGTGCAGCTTTGGATTGGACGCCCGTCCCTCTTTGACGCAGACCTGTGTGAAACTTGCTTTCTCACGCACTTGTGTGTTTTCTCTCTCTTTCTCCCTCCAATGTCTGTCCTCCTACAGGACAGTGTCCCAATGGCCTCTCCTGCTTTCCTTCTCTCTCTCTTTGTAAGTATTCAGGTTCTCCGTCAGATTTCACCAGAACCGTACCACGCTCCACACACATGTGACTCAACGCAAACACATGATATATATATATATATATATATATATATATAACACACATCTGTCTCCACCTCATCTCATCTTCCTCTTTTTTTCAATTCAGTTCTATTTTAGTGCCATTTAAGGAAGCAAAACTACTCCAAAAGAAAACTAGAAAGTGTTTAAGTCATGATTTGAGCCATTTTAACTGACTACTATTATTGGTATTATTAAACTATAATAATGCACATGCAAATATTTGGTAACAATTAAAAAAGAAAAATCCCTTTGGAAACAGGTAGATTTCCTATATATCTAGTTAGAATTTGACTTAAAGCCTCTGTGACACTAAATGTTAAAAATATAGACACAGACATACATTGACTTCATGCCTCATAGTGAGGAGCCAGAAAAACAGTTTTTCCTGGCATTTAAAAAAGATGGTTATTCTAGTTTGTCTCCTCTTTGTGGAAGTAGATATCTAGTCCGGTTTGAAAAACGCTGTAAAAAGGAAAATGGTATGTTGGTCTAACTTTAATGGATACTAAACTTTAGTGTCAAATAGAGTGGGGCAGGAATGAGTCCTAAACCCAGAAATGGGTTATGGATAATGGGAGATTTAGACACCAATATGTCAGTAAACACTGGTACGCGTCTGCCGCTTTTAAGTGTCATGTAAAATTAAAAAAACGGAATTTAAAACTGGCGTGTGTTTACATTTAAAACAAGCTCATTTTCTGCTATACTCCAAAATCCAATGTAAAAACCCTATTGGATTTGAGTTTAGGGAGCCGTTGCTATGCTAACTTCCTGGTGGGCCTACAAAAATATGTCATAACTGCACCACTCTATATGCAGCAGTAAGTAAAGAGAAACATAACAGGGCTGTGTATCTGTTTGGTATGGATAAATAAAGGGCCTCTTTGTATCTCAATCTCTTTGACAGTTTCACACACACACACACACACACACACATCTCTGAACACACTGCAGTGTCACCACCATACACTTTAAGTTCTATTTTGACACAACATCTTCACCACACACACTCACACACAGGCTCCAGTCACCTCTCATCACCAAAGCTTCCGTCAACCTTCGGTTATTGACCCCATCCCGGTTTCCTGTGTCTTTCCGTTAACGTGCGTTTGTCCGTGTCTCTGCATGTTCTAATTTAATTTCTCCTTCTTTTCTTTTTCAAAGTGTTTTCTTTTTTTTGGTCATCTTCATTTTTTATGTTCTTCATTTGGGAAGGACGCCTCCCAAGGTGGACCGTTTTATTTTGCGAGTTCAATGGTGTGAGTAGGCCCGCCGCAGAGGTCACTCTCCAGCTGACCTCTGACCTCCACAGCCTTATATGAACTTCTCTTTCTTGCTCTCTCTTGCTCTGCCTCTCCTGCAGGACGGAGGCACCAGAGGTCGCCGTAGTGCCATGGAGGCCGATCTCAAAATGAAGAAATGAACTGATTTCAGAGAAAAAGACACTTAGAAAGACTCAGAAGGTGGAGCTGAATATTCACCGTTTTCTGGAGAGGACTGTGCAATCTCTGTGTGCCTGGTGTGTATATGTACACACTTAATGATCTGTACTTTGAGTATATGTGGATGGTATGTGTCAGTGTGTGTGTGAGCTGCACAGGTCCCCTGTTCACTCCACTTTCCTCCAAGTATCATTTCACCAGCAAAGGTAGTAGCTCATCATTTCCCTCCGCTGAGATGGAACACTGAAGAACTTTGAGATGGGAAAGAGAAAGATTTTCACCAGCAAAAGTCTGTTTGCGATCGAATGACGAGGATTTGATCATGTTGAATGGTGGATGCATTAATACTAAGTCCGTTGATTGAGTGATTTCTATGAGTGCCCTGCACCAAACTGTGTGTGACTGCGTGGGCTGAAGAAAATACACATGACGGCAACAGCAACCAGGATTGAAACGTCACAAATCATTATGTACAGATTCAAAACACTACTACTATTTCCAGTTCTGTTAAATTGATCACTTGAAATGTATCTCACATCTTTATAACTGGACTTGCAGCATGGAACAAGAGTGTTTTTTATTAAGGGACAGTTTGGATGTTATGAAGTAGGGTTGTAGGACTTACTTCAACATAGTCACCTACTGTAGATGGTCAGCACGCATACCGGAGATACAGAGAGCAGGAAGCGGAGTAATGGACTGCAGTGGACAGCAAATCATATTTTAGCCGCCTAAAGGACATGTTGTCATTTGACCCTAACAAGGGCCTGAGTTTCCATTCATTCAAAAGACGATGTAATGTGTCTAAATAAAGCAACTTCATAGTATAACCCAAACATCTAAAAATAATTACCAAAAGAAAGTACAGAAAACAAGCAAGCTATTAGTGAAAGTGGTGAAATTGGACCCGCCATGTAAAGATGATAACTTAACTAACAGTGAGTAAACACATTGTTCACAGCGCTTTGTTTATGCTGTAGTGAGATGAATGGAAACTGTTTGAAGGTAGGGATCAGAAGAACACAATCTATTCTTTGTAAAAATAATTGGCTGTAATGTAAATTAGGTGTTTCACCGAGTGTGTTAATGGGATGAAAAGTAGGATGTGGAGTTTGTTGTTGCTGAAATAGTATTGATGCATCCCTGTTAGCAGAAGAAACCGGTTTGTGTAATGTGTGTTGGATGGAGTACAAAAACACGTTTTGTACCTGTGAGATGGGTCATGTTGAGTGTTGTGTTTGGGTAGCTGATACACGTATCATGTGTTCTGTTGTACATTTGTTACATAAAAAGATTATTTGATCTAAACATAAATCACAAAGTTGTTTTTTTTGGCTGTAGAATTAGTGTGTCTGCTACGTAAGCATCTTATGTTGCAAACGTATGATGGCAATATTACAGAACAAAGTACCTACAGTACACAAGTAAACTTTAAATGCAAGAATTGACAAGAAACAGAAGTATTAGTGTAAAAAATTGTATTTCACAAATCATAAATAATAAATACAGCATGTTCCAGGAGTGAGACCCGCCCAATCCTAGAGGATAGTTTTTATGTTTACAGTGTTCACTTTAACATTCAACAATTCTGTGCAGAATACTGCATTTATATTGGCAACAGCATGTAGGCAACCATCTGACCTGAGGCTCAAAGTTAGACATTCAAACTAAACAAAACAAAAATCCACTTCATTAGAGCTGGTCGATTGGTCGATTACTCCATGGACAGAAAAATAATGAGCAGCTTTTTTGACAATTGTGCCTAATTAAATTGCTTTTTAATGCAGTTTTCTCCATCTCAAATATGGCGACTACCTTACTTTCTGTGTTTTAAATCATACGAAATGTAATGTTTTTGGATGACGAAACAAGACATTTAAAGACATCACTTTGTGAACTGGAATCGTTATTTTTTTTTTACTACTTTTTGACATTTTATGGAACCAAAGATTCATCAAAAAAAGATTCTGCAGATTCACTGATAATGAAAATAATTGTAAGTTGCAGCCCTAGCTAAAATATAACAGTATAACTCAGACATGTTTCAGTGCAGTATGCATGTCGCCTGAACTTTAACATTAAGTTGAAAATGAACATTCAAACAAAAAAACGATGTAAACAGTGAAACAAGGGTTAACATTTCCCTCTTAGTAGAAATCATGGATGACGGGGCTGGCTGAGGAGTACAGCTTCCTCTTCACCAACCGGTACTCCGGTCTCAGCTTCAACACTTTGTCACTCTCAAATATGTGTTTGAGCGCCGGCCAGCCGTAGCTCTGATCTGCTCTGAGGATCACAGACAGTTCAAAGGTCGGGGTGACGCTGGGGTCGATGGAGAAGCTCCCCACCGGCTTCAGGCCCTCCTTGCCCTCCACGTACACCTTGATGGAGGCGCCCCTGAGGCCGCAGGGCTCATCAGCGGAGGAGCGCACCACGTCCTGCCCCACCCGGGCTGTCATGTGATGCGGCAGCAGTAACACCTGACAGAGGAGGGTGGAGGCTTTGGCTTCAGTGAGGCAGAGCTCAATGTGCCGGGTCACAGTCTGCTGCAGGACACGCTGCTCCTGCTCCACACCGGCATCCATCTGGGCAACTGTAGAAAGAGATCAGAGTATTGTTAGAAAATCTGGCTGCTAAATTAATATACATTTTAATCAAAATTGTAAATTTGACTGTTCTGACAACATTCTAATTGTAGGAAGTGCAATGATTGTTTAAGGCAGAATATGTGTTCAAATGCCTGCAGAGATAAACTGGCGTATTCTACTCCTATAAAATACGAGTCGACAAAATTAGCCCATTTTTTATATTTAAATGTCTGCTGATATTTAAAGGCGACCTATCATGCAAAATGCACCTTTGTACGTCTTTTTACACATGAATGTGTGTCAGGGAACTCACAAAGTGTCAGAAAACACAACCCTCTCTTTTCCTCCATACCCAAATCTCTAAAAACGGGGCTGCCAACGGATCTGATACAGACTGATACAGATTTGGAAAATAGTCTGACGTCAGTGAGGGAGGAGCTCCCGCCTATATGGCCAACTCTCCACCAATCAGGGGAATGAGAGGTTGCCGTGGCATGGTAACAGCATGGTAACATGATGATGTAACTCGGCCCCCTCCTTTGCAGGGGGGCGTGGTCAGCTGCAGCGCAGCATGCAAAGGCAGGGTGGAGGAGAGCAGAATAGAGCGAAATGAGGTATGGCTAAAATGCATGATCTGTTTGGTATTTTGAAAAAGAAAACGTATAAATATACCTTTTTATATAGGTATGGCCCTACAATATATTATTCAAATATAGCATGATAGGTCTCCTTTAATTTAACATCCAAAGCCAAAGCTCCACTACACCAAAGCATAAGAGATTGACCCCTGCTCTTTAATTTCACTTTTTGTCACTACTTTATCATGTGATGTCTTCCAATAGTGCCACTAAACTTCAAGAGTCATCAGAATAAAAAGAATATATCAGCACTGAGAGGAGAGGCAGTGAACGCTGAACCCAGACCTGCATCAGTTACATCAGAAACATCCCCATCAGGTCAGCTCACTGATGTGTTCTTCCGCCTAATTAGACAGTTCTAGATCCTACAATATAGGTCATCGCATTAATATAACAATGACTGCCGATAAGAACTGAGTACTACATCACTTGTTGAATAACCTTTAGCAGTTTTATTTACGAAACTATTTTAACAACTTACCAGGTGAGTTGTCCCTCACGTAGCAGCTTTCAACGCTGCCCCCGCCGGGCGGAGCTCGTGCCTCTCCCGGGATGTGAGCTGGAGGAAATATTTCCCGATCATCTCCAAGACACTTTCTTCCTCCGACAGGTCGAGAAGCCCCGGGTTTCCAAAGAGCAGAGCCGCGGTATACACCATCCTGAATCCCGTTTGTGAAGCTCCAGTTTCTCCTCCTGTCGTGTGGGTCGTTTTCTTCTCCATGTAGTACGTTAAGACTAACCGGCTGTAGGGGCGAGTGAAGATGTTATACCGGAGGTGCGCTCGGTTGCATCAGCTGAGCTCCCCGTGGTGGCGGGGCTAACTGTGGCTCACGCAACATGTCTGGGCATTTGCACAGGGGCCTGTGGACGTTTAGAGACAATAAGGCCTACTTTTATTTTCCTTTCTCTCTTGTGTTACCTATATTATAGCTGATAATAATAAATAGTGTAATGTAGCTTTTAAGATAACATTTTGTTAAGTATTGTACTTATCTACAGGTTTTTGACTTATTTAATCTGTTTATGTATTTCTTTTTTTACTCCCACAATACTTCACAGAAGAGATTTTATAACTTGGGTGTTTGACTTAATATATGAAAAAAGCATACCACTTGTTTTTTTAAATTAATTACAAGCATTATACAGGCAAGCATTTGATTAAACAAATACGAAAATGTAAGTTTCCAAGAAATAATAAATATGTAATAGTTATGTAAAACCAAATTACCAGGAATAAAAAGAAAAAGCAAACAAAAATGCTTACTATGGAAGCAAAAATTAGCTCAATTTCAACCAACTACACTCAGGCTGCATTAAATGCACCTTGATCCTAAAATATAATGTTTAATAACAATACAACACTTAAAGGTTGGGGTATAAGTTTTCAGAAACCGGCTCGAGTGCACTAACATTTGAAAGTACACAGCCGAAAAGAATCCGCCCCTTCCTTCAGACTTCCTTACAGAGCACCTCCTCCAACACACATGAACGCGCACATGACGTCAGCAGACTGGTGAAAGTGGCCGCCTGTTGCTGGCGAGTCATTGAAGTACTGCTGCAATGCACGCCCAATGAGGGCACGAGATACATTTGTGCGTGCACTAGATGGAAGGCTGACAGACAGGGCGGCAATCCAATCCGTTTGAGCTCGCCCGGCCTAAACGGATTGGTCGTGCTTTTTACAGTATTACGGCTTCCACAGATGCATTTTTTTAATGGATTTTATGTCAAAGCACTTAAGATATTCATTACTATCGGGATGTTAAGAGCATTCCATGGAATATAACAAAAAGTGTATCTCGAGCCCCGGTTCTGAAACTTACCTACCCCACCTTTAAAGTCATTGCTTAATTAATGCTTTTACTTCGATACTGAATCAACTCAGGTAAATTAAATGATTACACATGTATTATTTCACTTTGTATGATTTTTAATAAAGGTTGTTTTCTTGGTATTAGTATGTGTACTTCTCCCATCACTTTTGAAAGACCGCGAATGATATAAATGCTCAGTAAAAAACTACTGATGGATAAATGGCCTCAGTCTGCGATGGAAACTACCAGCATGACTATTATATAGGTTAATCTAGATCAGGGGTCTCCAACCTTTCTTCATCTGAGAGCTATGTTTGAAAAAAATGAAAGTGGCCAAAAGCTACTTGCATCACATCGCTTACATTTATTCACGTAGCCCTCATCAGTTGAACTTCACCTCAAGGTCCAAGAATACGACAATTTCTCACATTTTATTATGGCCCACGTAGGCCTACAGCTTCCTCATATCTGTTCAGAAACTAGACAAAACAAGTACAAACCGCAAGACCTGTCCTGTTGTCATGGTGAATTTATGTCTGTAGGCCGTTGTCGTGAGTGTGGACGGGAGTATACAATGTTAGCTTCCGATCTCCACTCAGAAAACACGCATTTAAAAAAAGAGAACAGTAAGTATTGAGTGCCCTTCAGGGGATTTTTGTGTGGTTTTTTCAAGTTCCTCTGACAGGGCTTTGTCCAGTAAAAGGGCATTCATGGCAAAAATGTGATGTCTAGTGATGTTAAGCACAGACTGTCAGAAATGCCGCACATATTTTTGTTCATTTAAGAAAACCCTGAATGCAACCGTCTCTTAAAGTCCAAATGTATAAATTCTCGCTATGCTGAATGTTTCTGCGCAATAAAACTGTGAATGTCATGTATTACAGGTTCTTCCCTTCATGGAAAGGTTATGTTCTCTACTTTGTTGTTCAGTATGTTCAGGTTCAGGTTCAGGTTATTTATTTGTACCCGTAGATTCTGTGTCAATCATTTGTCAAAAATATGCCTCCTGTCTCTTTAAAAGTATTTATGGCACGAAGGAATAACAGTGGAGAAATACTGGAGCTGAGGTAATCTTCCACCGACAAACTGTTTAACCCCTGATCGGCCATTAACATTCAGTATACAACACATAAACATACTTTAAAGTATATCTTAATATACCCTTGACCTATTGTTGTGGAATTTTACAGTATCCATCACAGTGAAACATGTGAAAACCTCAGAGTTTTACTTTTTATTGAGAATTAAATTAAGAAATGTTCTGGGGTGGTTGT